CTCTGCTGTGAAAGCTTTGTTATTGTTTTTGGAGCTGACTGCACCTCCTGTGGTCACTGTTTATTAAAATCTCCCATGGTGATCTAATTTTTCTTGTTTTGTCCTGTGCACAGTAAAAGTTCTAAAGAAACTGGTCTTGAAGGCAAATTTTATTGTGCATTAAATACTTTGTTTTTTTTTAATGAAAACTGTAATGGTCAGAATCCTTTAAACTTCCTTCATCCCGCTCCAATTCCCTTTAATACGTTGTATAATTTATCATGCTTTGAGCGTTGCAGCTCAAATGATTTCTCAAAAATGCAGCACAGGGGAGGCTGAACCAACACTTAAATATTAAAACATACAATCACTGTGCTTGTGGTGTTGTTGACAACCAACGTAGTCATTAAACTGTATTGGTGTGCATGTGGAAAAAGTAACTCAACCTGAATTTTGAAGCCTTAAATTCAGGTTACATATCATCCATATGTTTGGATATGTTATATCCAAACACATCCTGGGGACTCATAGCATTCGACTTTAAATAATCAATAAAATCAAAGCAGTTTTTATTTGTATAATACCAAATTACATCAATGTTAAAAGATGTTTAATATTAAATAACTTGAATAAGTACTAATTGAATGCAGAGACAACTATTGATTCAAATTTTAACAGTTTGTTCTACAGATACATTGTGCCACAACTGGCCCTTTGAGGAGATTTAAGATCTTGCTGTGGCCCAAAAAGAAAATGGGTTCAACATCCCTGCCTAAGGTGAAAGGTCATCCTTAAAACTGGTTAGAATAAAAATTGATTCATCCAGCCTAGATGATACTGCCAGGGTCTGAGCAAAAGTCGTAAACATATAAAACGAACAATAGAAGTTAGGGTTAGGAGCAGTTGAATGTTTTGAACTTAATTACTTTGCGTCATCTCTTTTTAAGAAATTCTCACACAGGAAACAAGTCTAAAACTAATGAAGTTACTGATTTGAACTGAATTTTCAGTCTGATGAAAGTCTTTTAATCTACAAAAAAAGTATCAGGAGTTTTAGAAAACATATTTTCGCTGATATTTTAATCCCCTTCTTGGTTCGATGAACCAATAATGTTACATTTCTGTTCTCGCTACAGGGATGGCTGCTCTTTTTTTGCATGATGTAACAAACTCTCTCACTGCAGGTTCAAAGAAAGTTTAAACTCAGCTCAAAACATTGTGTGATTTTATAATTGAGAGACCGTACTACTGTTTCTTTAGTAACTACACAGTTAAGAGTTGTATCAAAATTGTTCATTTGTGTTGTTAACTGGCAAGAACACTTTTGACAATGCTAGCAGGTGGCCTTGAAGGCATCTAGATTCAGCTGAGAGTCGGACCAGAAGAACAAGCAACGCGACTGAATCACTCTGAGTCAGACCAGAATAAACTCAAGGGTAAAATTAATCACAATCTAAGCAGATTCATACGAGCGTTCTTTCTGGGAAACTGTCGCATAACTCACCACAGTTGGCCTCATCTGACCCGTCTGCACAGTCGGGGTCCTCATCACAAACCCAAAGCTTGGAGATGCAGTGCATTGATGCCTTACACTGGAACTGGTCAGGGGAGCAGGTGCTTTCAGCTGTATTCAGAAAAAAAAAGGAGTATGAAAGAGAAGAGCAACGTCTTTCATCATTCAGGATGAATTTTTTTTTTCTCTGTAGAAAGACCTGAGTCATCATGGAATGCACCATGATGCAAGACACAGTGAGGAAGCAAATTATGCCTCCCGAACATCATCTTTTCCCTCATTTTTTATGCTATATTACAACAAGGTAGGAGCAGCTTCTTTTCTATATAACGTGACATTGTTTCAAATAGCATTTTAATTTCAATGGCGCAGTGTTCATTACAAAGGTGCATTCAAAAACGCATCCAATCATGCTGGTAGTTTAAGCAGGGCTGAAGTAATTAGCTTCACTTTAATTAAAGTCTTTTTTTCTCCTCCTGACTTTCTCGCAATCTCCTTCCCTCGCTCTCACCCCTTCTGTAATCATCGGAAAGACAAACGCATCCGGCGAAAAGTCTTGAATAGGGTGTGATATTCTGATGAGTTACATCACTGCAGACAAAATCTGCTCTTATCCTCTATGCGATTCAATTTCTAATCCCTTTTCACAAGAGCAGGCCATAACATAAGTTGTCTCCAGAATGCCTAATGAGGACTACGTAATCCTAATGGTGTGTTGTATGCAGTTCAAGTACAGGCATGAAATAAAAGTTTAAAAAAAAGAAGCAACATTTCTTCATGATCTGTACCAATTTAAAAATACAGACATCAAAAGCTTTGTGCAGTGTCTATACTTTTTCTTTTTTTTAGTTTTTTTGGAGTACTTGTACAAACATATCCAATTCTTCTTATTCCAATGCTTTATTAATAGCTTCTTCAGACAATAAAAAGTAATGTTGCAAACTCTCACGGCAGTCTGTCTCATCCTCTCCGTCACCACAGTCGTCCTGACCGTTGCAGCGCAGGTTTAGGGGGATACATTTCTGTTTTCTGGTGCACTTGAACTGGCCTGACAGGCAGATGTATGTCTCTAGGAGGAAAAACGATAAGAAGGAGAGCAAAATGAAACAAAACGAAAACACACCAAGAACACATTTATTTACCATTTGCCCATTATATTTGCCCGTGGTGAGTCGGGGGCAATGCTGGTACTCCGCTCCATTTGTGACCAGTAAACCTCTTACCATTTGCTCTTCTGCCAGTTTATCTTTCATCATGCAGCTTTGGATTTTGTCATTAAGCCTCTTTAAATTCCTTCAGAGTCTAACTTCTAATATGACACCCATAGCAAAACCACAAAATGACTAAAAGCATATTTACTTTCAATCCTGCTCACTTTTGTTACCAGTGAGCCTCTTAACTTGGAACTTATATGATTTCTAATAAGAGGAAGTGTGTTTGTGTAAGTATCAATCTTTAGGTTACTATTCTATAATCAACTAGTTAACTGTTTTTATAATCAATCACATTAAGTCCCAATAAAACACACTGATGTTTGTGCTTTAACATCAACATGTGAAAAAGTGAATGACATGAATATTTTTTCAGGTGACTCCAGCAGAGTAAACTGTGCACTTACCACAGTTGGCCTCATCTGTGTTGTCACCGCAGTCGTTCTCTCCATCACAGATGAAGGGAGGAAGAGCACAGAGGCCTGTACCGCACTGAAAACGCCCAGGCTGACATTTGAATTCCGCTGTTTAAAAATCAAGCGTAACCCAGTGTGCAATTAGAAATAAATATGGCACATGTGTTATAAAAGAGGTCAAAGCTCTGACTGTAACAGGGAATAGAGAGAAAAATAACATGTTTTTGCTCCAGAGTTTATGCTTTTATGGCTTACAACTATAACATCCCACTTACGGCAATCAGGGGGTTCGTCTGAGCCATCCCCGCAGTCATCCACCGTGTCGCACTTCCACCAGAAAGGGATGCACTCATCTGTCCCACAGCGAAACTGTGTTGGAACAAAAGAGACAAAAAAGAAGGGGAGTGGGCGAACACAATTTGAAGTCGACATGCATTCTCGAATGCCTGGTTAGACTTCTGCGTTCTTCAAAGCCAGAGTTAAAATCAATACCCAAACATTTCCTTCACCCTTCATGTCAGAAAAGACAAGCCCATGAAAGTAAAGCAATTTGCCTTCAGGTGGAACAGTGCTGATCAGAACAGAGGAGCAAACAACATGATCACAGCAGGTGTAGACATGGTGGGGAAGGAGGAAGAAAGGAGCTGACCTGACTGGAGGTGCAGTTGGAGAGGCAGGTTCTGTTGTCGGCAGCAAGGTAAAAGTTTGTGGGACAGGCACATTTGTGTTCCCCACCAGGGGAAAGAAGACATAAATGGCTGCATCCACCATTTGCAATCTGGCACTGGTGCTTGGGCACTGGACAGCAAAATACAAATACAAGGCAGAGCTCAAACGGTCTGACATCAGGCATATTTTTCTTCCGGCTGAAGAAAAACAACAACTAAGGAACAAAACTGTTAGCTGGATGTAACAAACATGAGAGTTTGATGCAGTATTTACCTTCAGGCTGCCGTAGTGAGTGGTAGACCTTGATTGATTTGATGGCTTGCCAGGAGTTGAGGAGCTCAATCGCTTGAGTGCCAGTAGTCTTGTGAGCACGTCGGAGTGACTTAGACTTCCCATCAGTCCAATACACAAAGTCCTCAAACAAAGTCAGTGCCATTACTCCTTGGATGTGGTCATAGGACACTAAAAAAGGAAGTCATATGTAAAGTTCTCTGTCTGTGCAGGGTTAATATCATCCAAAAATCCCTTGGAGATTAAAGCAGTTCAACAGATTAAATAATAGATCTGTCATGATTTTCAAAATAGAGTTCTTAGATAGTTAAATAATATTTTTGATATTTTAAATGATAATAAAATACAGTGCCTTTCACATTTCAGAATGTTGCAAAGACAATATCCGTTAGTTTTATGCGGAAGATCAACGCAAAATTGAGAAGAGGACATTTTACACGGTTCCCAAAATGTTCTAGAACCACCTCTGCATCGGGTTTGCACTTTTAGAGTCAGTCATTTTTACTCAGTGTTTCTCTTCAAATCAGTTCATCGTAAAAAGCAGATGGAAGGTATCTTCAAATATCTGTCTAATTTGTCTAAACTTAATTTTAAAATTTAAAATGTGCAGCTCATGTTATCGCACCGTTTTCTTTCTCACCTTTGCGTCTCTGGGTGCCATCCATGTTGGCAAACAGGATGTGGTTGTCGTCTGCCCAGTACACTCTCTTGTTGGTATAATCAATAGTGAGAGCAGTGGGGCTATAGATCTCTGTGTCAATGATAACCATTTGCCCCCGGCCGTCCATGCCTATACGTCCAATATGAGCGGGCTCACAGCAGTCTACCCAGAACACATACCTAGTCACAAATATTGCAGAATTGAGAAAAACTGCATGTCACTGTAGGCAACATTAAAATGGAGTAGTGTTCAAAATAACAAGGCGATACAAGATACGGGTCAGATAAATCAATGGAGGTAAGAATTAACAATGTGAGTATACATACTAGTAAAAAGGAAACAAAGATACTGAAAATAATAACAAATGCCTAAAGTTTACTGACTCTACAATAACACCACATGTTAAATGAAAAAGGAAATTCTCATTTCCACAGATTATGTGTGTAAGCACCAACTAAATAAATATTAGACAAAAGAACTATGATGATTTATTGATTTTCTTTTAAAGCATGCATTTGGAAAAAAAAAAAAAAACTTGCTTTAAGAACCATTCAAGAATCAGTCATTTTTAGGAATAAAATCCAGATGTAAGCTATTGTGAGCTCTGTAGTTTTAATATTCTCACCCTGTCTGGGGATCCAGAGCAAGATCTGTGGGGTTCTTGAGACCAGAACTGATCAGGATGGTCGGGTAGAGGCCGTTCGCTTTTGACACTTCTAGTGTTTTCTTTTCTGCGTCACACCAGTACAGATTTTTTCCAATCCAATCCACTGCTAAAGCACTGGGCACCGCTGTCCTGTGGACAATCTGTTAAAACAGAAATCAAAAAGTTTGGTAAAAGCAGTTTGAAGCACTAAACAAAAACGTTTAACTGATAAGTTATGCTCAGCAAAATACTTTTTTTTCCTACTGCATTTTGGGCTCTCTTAACTTTTCAAACTGAATGGTTTCGAGAGGCCGTCAAGTGCTGCCATGGTAACTGTTAAACATGAGTCTTGTGCATGACAAAAGGTTGTTGAGAATACTGCAGGGTGATGTAATGACCTAAGGCTGCAGACCAAAAGCCTCAGCTTTATTTTAATGTGCATTTGCATACAGAACACTGTCACAGATAAAAGCCTGCTTCTAACGCTAGTTTGTGAAGAAAAGGTCAGCCCTTCAAATGTATTTACAAAGAAATGTGTTGCGAAGCACGCGGGGTGTAGAGGTAGAGCGGTCGCCCCATACACAGAGGCCATTAGTCTCAACGCAGCAGTCTGGGGTTTGATTCCCAACCCTGAGACCTTTGCTGTATGTCGTCCCCTCCCCTCTCCATTTCCTAACTAGTCTACTGCAAATAAAGGCTACCAGTACCATTAAAACCTTTTTTTAAAATGTGTAGTACAATAGATATTTGTTCAGGATTAGGACAGTTTTTGTTGAAAATGCTATTTTCGCAAAGCAGAAGGAGTTCACCTACAGTCATTACTTGATTAGTCTCATGGGGAGCAGAAGGGAGCAGTTTAATAAGGTCAAGCAGCAATGAGTGATGACTTTAAAATTAGACTCTACAATCAAAAGTCTTCCCCGCTGCAATGAAGAAAATAGGTCTTGAACACATGAAAGATTTTCTCAGTAAAAGAAAAAATGGTGGTGGTCAGAGGATTGAAGGTTCCCCGATTGTATGGTAACCTCGTTCCTGTCAGTCTGCCCCAGGGCAGCTATGGCTACAATGTAGCTTACCACCACTGGCGCGTGATTAAATGCACGAATAGGTGAAAGACTAAATGTAGTCTAAGCGCAGTGGGGTCCTTTGGACGGCATAAACACATTAGTTTTCCTCAAAATTAATGCGTTAAATTCCCAGCCCTAGTTTCTACGTAAAATCCTTCTACTTGTAGTAATCTAGGTTGTCACTTGTTCAGAATAACTGCTCCACAAAAAAAAACGGAAAATGTCAACATTTGAATATGACTTTTCAAAAAATAAATATAAAAATAGGATGTTGAGTGATCTGCATGTAAAAATGGTTAGACACTCCATTTTTTCCACCATTTCAACACAAAGATAGTAAGACCTTCAAAATACCTACTTATGACCTCGTCACAATGTTAAAAAATCCAAAAGACAAAAAAGAAGGGTCTCTGCAGGGGTTTGTGAGATCCTTTGGCATACCTTGGGCTCTCCAGGAAGCATAAAGTATGAGCGTTGAAGACACTGTTTTTAGCATGCACCAACCTTCTGTAGCAAGGTCATGTTAGTTAATCATTGTGGCAGCATATCAAGGTCCTGTGTGGAGCATGAAGAAGTGCGGTGGCAGTTAAATATGAGCATATTTATAAACTAATTTACTTCATGGCAACAAATGCCACAAAAAAGAATTGCATGTCAGCAAAAATCTTTATTTTCCGTTAGAAACACAACTCCGCAGCAAAATCATTACTTAAAAACGGAAATCACGGACGGACACAGGTAACGTTTATACAGCTAAATGGAATAAAACTAAATTATATGGCACCGATCTGATTCAGAACGAAATAATGCGCTGAAGTCCAAGTGAAAAATGAAAAGAAAAATGTCCACTAACTATCTTTCTAATTAAATACCACTAGCATTACCTTTGCAAATAAAATCCATACGTCTTTTCAATTTCATGCTTTTCCTCATATAGCAAAGCTGTGCGAGTGGCTGCTCATGTCAGTAACTCTAATTAACCCCATGTCATAAGCTCATGGATCCGTGTTTCAGACAGTTTGCTAAGCTGTGTCAGTGGCTCAGGCTGAAAACTGTGGATGTAAGAGAGCTAAATAAGCCTATTGCTCAGCACATAAACGCTAATGAGATGTGGCATGGGGACCCAGAAAGTGTTATCCTAATGTCCCATCAGCTCTTCTATCTGGGTTTCGATCCCCTGACCTTACCCAACCTGGTGACAACACCTGAGAGCGCATTTGTAACACGATGCTTGCCACATTCATCTGACAGCCATTAGTTATCTTCGCAAGCACTCTATCCTGAGCCATTAAGCAAGCAAGAAGCTCTTTCCTGAAGCAATAAAAAAAAAAAATCTATGATGTCAAAAGTGTAAAATATAAAAGACACCTATCTTTAGCTGAGCGGTGATAATGAGCTACTTCAACCACGTGTTGTTTCAAAAGCAGAAAATGTTTTTAAACGGCAAAATCTGATAATTAGACTGAGCAAAAACAGAGCTGAGATGGGTGGGTAAAAACTGAAGTGGGAGTAAGAGCAGGAAAGCAACGATTCGTCACCAAAGTGAAACAAGCAACATATGGTAGTCAAGTCACAGCAGCAGTATCTCATCGGTTACCTTAAGGTCGCTCCCATTTAGGCGCATTCTGTTGATCTTTCGACCACTCGGCCTGGTCGAATCCACCCAGTAGATGAATTCCTTTTTGTAGTCAAAATCTAGGTGGATGATGTTGTAGAGGCCCTAGGAAATAGAAAACACACATCGCATGTTAGAGCATGTTAATACTCGTCTGAATGAAATGGGAGGGTGAAAGCATTACGCTGTCACTCTAACTGCCACCATACATATGCAACATTTGGTAATTAAACAGAAACACATTTATTTTCATCTGCTCAACCAAAAGGTGATTTCAATTTGCTAAAAAGTAAAAAAACAAAAAATCATGTTCTTTTCATACATGATATATTTTGTGCAGCACAAGCAATATTGATTTTGGTGGATATCCCATAGGTCTCAAGGCTTTCAGTAATACAAGCAATTTTAAAACTGACTGGAGAGCAAGCTGCAGTCTGATCAAAGGAGCAGAGTGACATACCTTTCTTCAATGTTTAGCTCATAGGAGCCCGCTGTCAATCAGACAGCCCGCACACCAAACAAGTGCCCCCACCCTGCTGTCTCACACTGTAGGAGCCTTGAACACATGTCAGACAATCTGACAGGTGCAATGAAATGTCTTCATCAGATCATCAACACTTTCATAGACAGGTCGCAAAGGGTCCGGAGGGAACATGTCTGTACTCTGCGTATCTGTTACAGAGATGAAATCCACCTTTCTCTTGTACTTCTAACATTGAACGGTATATTTTATTAATCTACCTGGAGGACAGCATGAAGAGGGATTGAGACCCTTTAGCTGAGCTTCGATGTAAAAAGAAAACAAAAAAGACTTTTTCCATTTTTATCTCATTAAAATGATGCTGCAGGTCAGATAATTTTCTTAAACCCCTTCACATTTCACAAACTGACAACTAAAACCTTCAAGTGAAAGTGGAATTATTCACAGTTTTGAAAATGAGCTCATCTCCTCTTGAGTCTGTTCTATCCTGTGCCTGCTGAGGAAATGCATCCTCAAGAGCTTTCTTACCCAGGCTGTCAGTTTAAGTGGACAGCCATGTTCTGGTATGTGTTAAGTTGTTTTAAATGTTCTGAACACAGATTGAATTGAGCACTGTGACACGTCCAAAGCCCAACTTATTATTTTAAAACTGAACCCTTTTTTGAACCTATACACAACAATACCTGTTTCAGATCAGCTATATTTATACTCAGAGAAAAACACACACAGCTGGGCTCTCTTCACTAATTGGTCTTTAAAACGTTCCAATTAATATTAAAATTCTTTTAGTATTTTCATTGCTCTTATCAGTTTATTTTTGTGACTCTTGTTATTCAGAACCAAGAGTTTATTTCAAAGTGCTATATGGATAAAATCGACACTGGATTTTGTTACAGTGTACCAGACCAATAGATGTGGAATGTTCTTAGAAAATGATGTATAGAACATAGATGGCTGGATGGATTTATGTATATATATATATAAAAACAGAAAAGTAAGATTAATGTTTGTCTGATTTAAAAAAAAGAAATTGTAATAACTTATGCTTATCAGAGGTCAGGGGCTGAGTTAAGAGGTTAATTTGACTGAGAGAAGGATGTAAGATACTTGTGAGGTGAGTTATGGTAAATTTCATCCTGCGTTTTGTGATAATCAACAGTTAAATTCAACTATAGCCCACAGCAGCAGTGAGACCTGAAAATGATTGAAAAATCACTTCCAACGGTTTCTTCATTAAGCAAATTTGCCCCTCTGTTCTGCACTAAGCGAATTGCCCGCTTTCTTCCACACTTGTTTTTGGAGTTTGTTTTTCATAATGAACTGCACGGACTTAATTGAACAGATTATTTTCTTCTTTTATATAAGAGATGTATACACCATTTTTATTCATTTAAATCTGCTGGATGAATTACAGTGTCCTCAGCAGCTGCTGATACCCCAGTTAAATATAATATATATACATTAGTCAACTTAAGTAAGTACAAAGACTTAAAAAAAAAGTCAGATGCAGTCGCACAACTTCATGCAAAGAATGTTCAACGATTCTCAAATGGTAAGAAAGTAATCATTTTCTTTCTTAGGGGATGGGTTTTTCAAAAATCCATCCTCTTTCCCTCTTTTAATGAAAGAGGATGCTTGTGCAACATTCTGTGAATTTATGCTGAGGCTTTTTACACACTTTAAACATGGGAGGCCAGTAAGTGTTCACAATTGTTACATTTTTTATTCAAATTTTTAAAATACATTTTTATTTTACCAGTCTTTGTGAAAACAGTGAGTCATGTTAACTAGTGTGCCTCTCCTCTAACCTTGCAAATGTATTGCCATTAAAAAAATATCCAAAAGGACTGAACAGGGTGACATAACATGTCGCACTTGCAATTACAAAAACTGTCTGTGCAACAAACTATTGTGCTGATGCTGCACATGTCAGACAATGTTGTGACCAAAGTCTGCAGAAGTATTGTTGGTCTTGGAGCCGAGGCTGTGTGTGACAGATGGGAGCTGAATTATTTAGGAGTCAAATCTGTCAAATCTGTTTCCATTGTACAGCTTCTACAGGTCTCTCTGTATTCCTGTGAAGTGCATAACTTCAAATCACAGCACATCTTACAGGGGTGTATCCAGGAAGTTTTTAATAAGAGATAAATGGGGGCCACGGAGCGTCACACCAAAATAAAAACCCAGGCAAGACGCAGGGTTGTAATAAACTTTACAAAAGTAAGTGAATTTCCTTCAGCTAATTTTAGAGTCCCGTTTGTCAAAGCTCTCACATCACCAGATTCGTTAGTATCTGACATATAGCTTCCGTCTTCAGGAATTAAAGCAACAGGTGTAATTTATTGTATGTGTAAAGCTTTTTATCTACAATCTTTAAAATACAGCTTAAAATATGCAGATGCTAAAGGTCACCACAACGCCCAATACTGAATAGATACAAAAATTGTTCACAATTATTCTGCCTAAGATACTCCCACATCTGCTAAGAGGGCAGACATAGCTCAAAGCTTTTTACGAACACTGTGAATAGGTTGAGATTACCTGTTTTAAAATGGTGTAATTTGAACCATCCACGCTCAGTTTGCGGATCTCATGGTGGTCTGCCATGATGAGAAAAGGCTCCTCAGCTGAAATACAGAACGCATGGCATTAAGGGACTTGTACTGACATGTGAGGAAATGCTTCAAATTGAGAAAACAACAATCAAGCTGACCTGATATAGCCTTGCATGTGTTTGGGTTGCGATCCACAGGCTCATAACCGTCCACACAGAGGCACCTGTAGGACCCGTAGGTGTTGATGCAGCGCTGGCTACAAGGGAGGGTAGTGGAGCACTCATCAACATCCACACAAGTCTTCCCATCATCTTTCAGGTGGAAACCAGGCCAGCATTTACACTGATCATTAAAAAAAAACATGAAAAACATAAAAAATATATTGCTTGGAGATATTGAAAAATATAATGAAACTAAAATTAAGAACTTAAAACGATCAGTGTTTTAAGCGCCGACTTATTTCTCTGTAACCTTCATGTGAAAAGAAAATAACTCTTACTTCTATTATTTTCTGCTTTGCTATTTGTCTACAAATTTAGTGGCCATTTAAATCTCCTTCCTCAAGCAGTAAATAAGGTAAAATTGGCTCACCAGAATTTTTTTCCCCTTTTTTATTCTTTATTGGCTTTCCCTTTTTTATTTAAGGTTTACTTACAAGACAACATTCTACTCTGAAATACATTTACTCTAAAATCATCTGATAAGAACAAAGCTAAGATGTTACAAAAATGTAAGTGATAAAATCACAAAGAAGCTTGTAGTTTTAGAAAACAAGATAAGCTCGAAGGAAGATATTTTTTTTATTTTATTTTGAAAACAAGAAAACATCTTAACCCCAAATGTCATTGAGTTTTCCTCAACAATCTTCAAAGTGAATCAAATGTGAAAGAGACTTCTTAGGGATATTTGTTTTGTTTTCCTCTCAGGAGGAAAAAAATCCCCATAAACTTAATAAACCGTGACCTACAAGACAACATTAAATCTGTGATATCCAGTAAAAAATGTCCATTTCCCAACCATCCTGATCCATTAAATAATATTGAAAGGAATTTGCAAAATCATAAATGTGATCAACATAGTATAGTTCTGATGCAATCAAATTTTACATCCACTAAAACTTCCTGCCCTTCCAAAGAATGTATTGATGAACATCAGGCATTCTATCAAGGGAGCGTTTTCTGTTAAGTCACTCTAGTAAAAGAAAATGCTATTCAAATAGTTTCTTTAAATGCTTTGAAGGGAACCAAATTGGTGGATCTACTAAACAATGACTCCCTATCATATTATTAGTTTGATTATATTTTATATTGTTTCTAATTGGTTTACCATTTATTAATACATTTTTAATCTTAGGGGTATATCTGAAGATTTATTCTTGGTTTCTGACACACTCAGTTATTACGCAATAAATAGACAGAGGGCTATGGTCGAAATCTCTGGATGTGTCCTACGATTTCTTCATGTGTGTCTGCCGGGTTGGCCTGAGGCATAAATTAATTTTGCAACTGCTTCAGGTCCTCTTCTAGCCCCAGGGCCCCAGGAGAAACTGAACCTGAATTCAAACAGACCAGCTACCAGTCAGTTTTAGAATTTATTTAAAATTATTTTGATCTTAACCTCCAGAGGCTTGAAAAGATCAGCTCCTTTTATATATATATATATATATATATATATATATATATATATATATATATATATATATATATATATATATATATATATATATATATATATAGTCCCTCTCTCGTTTCAGGACCAGAAGATATTGATTTTCACAAACAGGAGCACCAAGGCTGTGGAATGTGCAGCCTTTATTTTTGTGGAGTTTGGACTTTGTGGATACTTCCAGAAAGAAACTGAAGGACTTTCTGTGTATGCTTACTGAGTTGACTGCAATTAAAAAAAACAGCTGAGAAGACATGGGTTATAAGGGACATGCAAC